CGAGCCCGTGACCTCAGCGACGCTCACCCGCCCAGGCTGAAGGCGGGGCCGCCGCCGCGACTCTCGGAGCCGCAAACAGCCTTGTCAGGGCACTTAAAGGCACCTGGTTTCCTAGCCGAGACCAGCAATAGGCCTTCTCTATCTGTTATTTTTAAAATAGTTCGTGCTTTATCTGAAGCATATTATGCGATTTTATATATATACATATATATAATAGTACACATAATGCATAATATATAAGAAAGGATAGCAACATTTCGTGATCCTCTTTCATAATCGGGGTGCGGCCGCCCTCTGGCTGCGCAGGAGGGGAGCCCCGTGTGGGGTGCCGGGGTGGGGGGCGGCCCGGGGCCGCGCGCTTCACTTTCTGCAGCGTCACATGTGCAGATGCATCAAAGAACGATCAGACTCAACATAGCCCAATACGAGGAACAATTATTTTTGTTACCAACTTTAATTGGTGAACCAAAAATAGTTTAATTTTATCAGTTAAATAAGCACTAACATTAAAATCATAGGAAACGAGGGACCGGCTGTCAGGAAACGGTGAAGCACCGGAGCATTTTTACTTTTTTCTCCAGACAAAAAAAATAAACAAACAAACAAACAAAAAACCTGTCCACCCAGGAGCTAATCCATTTTCCACACTCATTACCATTCAGATGAGTCTTTTGAAAAACAGAGATGTCGGCAGAGCTCTTGCCAGTGTCTGAGAACGCCTTTCTTATTCGATTCTACAAATAAAGAGGACCCTCTGGATCTAATTAAGAGATTTTTTCACCTGCCATCCCTCCTGCACTCGGCTCGCAGACGTGCATGGAGCACGTGCAGGATGCAGGGCGCGATGTCGAATGCTGTGCTGCACCAAGCGTGATGCACAATGGGCCAATCATAAAACTACACGCTCAATTCATCTTGTGATTTTTAATGATTCACTTCCTTCACTCGGCGGGGCCGTGTTGGCACCCGAGGGCTGGGCTGGCCCCAGGGCTGACGACGCGGCCCTGCCATCCCGCGCTCACAGCCTAATGGGGAGGCAGAGACCTGGGCAAGTAATTACCGTGCGGTTGAGGTCCTGCCAGAAGCGTCTGTGACCGTGTAAGGAAGCCTCTGTGGGCGTGCATGTGTGCGCGCACGCGTGTGCCAGCGTGTGTGTGCACGAGCATGCGTGCGTCTGTGTGTGCGTGAGCGTGTTTGTGCGGGGCTAGGATGGAAGGCGGGCTGTCTCCTCCCTGTTTCTCCCGTCCCACAGCTGAGCGGGGTCAGTTCTACTTAACGCTGTGGACAGCCCCTCTTCCCGCTGAGAACCAGCCACTCACAGTCTGGAGTTTTAAAAGGTTCTCTCCAAAAAAAAAAATGGGTATATTTCCCTGAAGGTCACACTGTTGCACTGCGGCTTGTGTGTCGGTGGCCCCTGAACCCTGCCTCTTTTCATAAGAAACATGCTGTGAGGGCGAAGGAGAAAACAGCTCTGGAGTTATTCTGCAGGGACGAAGGGGCCCACGCTCAGCAGAGGGGACAGGTCATTTTTTTTGAAGGGAACACGCCCATAAACATGCAAACCTTCCCTGTCTCTTCTCTTCCAGCAATTGAATGAGCCATCTGTACCAGGCTCTGAAATCCTTCCTGAAAACAATGTTTTCTTGAGAGCTGGGTTGATTTTTGAAATTGATAAAACATTAATTTTCTTCAAGGATCTTTCCAGCTCACCTTTCAGAATTTGAGATCCAATCTGGGCTGCAGATGTTCTGAGCACAGCATTTTTCGTGCATCTTCAAAAACTGACAGGGAAGTAAAGCAGTTGACATCCACCAAATGACCAAGCACTTAATTCCTATTGATCTGTACTTTATTTAAGGGTTGAAGTTACTGGTGCCGAAGACTGGCCTTCCCCTGACACCCAGGGCACGTTGGAGCTGTCTGCACGGCACCACCAGCGGCTGGGCGGCCGTGACCGCAGCAAGAGGTTGCGGCGCAGGGCGGACTCTGTTTCCCTCTGAATGGGTTGAATGTAACGAAACCCTGAGTTGAATGTAACGAAAGCTGATGGTTGGCCAGGCGCTTTTAGAGAAGCCAAGTTTAACCCGCTCTGATGTGAGATCCTGTTGTCTTGGGAGGCTGAGGGGTGATGCTCGCTGCGTGTGTGTCCTTGCTCAGCTCGGACGGTGCGGAGGCCACACTGCGGGGACGCGGGGACGTGAGGAGTCAGGAGGGATGGGCGCACCGGTGGGACGGGAGGTTGTGAGGTTGCACTGAACTTCGGCGGGCGCTCTAATACCCAGCTGAGTCTGGAAGCCCCGGTACATCGTATTTTAAATTTCCTTTGTTGAAACAATTTATGGCTTTGAGTCTTCGCACAGGGCATCTTGCAAAGACTCCTGGGCTCCGTTGCTCTTAGCATTTATGTGCATTGAAGGGTCCTCCTCACGTGTGCGTGCTGGGCAAACAGGCCGGCGGCTCAGACAGAGCCTGTGTGCCGGCCCGGCCGCCCGGCTGCGGCACAGACACGCCCCGGAGGCCGGGAAGGGTGCAGCTGGCCAGGGGCTCCGGTGCCTGGGTCCCGGGCCTGCTGACGCAGGTGGCTCAGCGACCGTGGTCCAGCCCAAGGGGACGCCCCACCCCCCGGGGGCCCTGCCCAGAGAGAAGGCTCCCCACTGAGGGCCAGTCGCTGTGGGCCCCGCTGTTATCTGGAAAAGACCATGTCAAATGTCTAACAAAAGTGCCTGAGCAGCCCCTCCGCTTCTCCGTGATTACGTGGGAAAAGAAGGCCGACCCCGGAGCCGGGCTTGGCGGAGAAGCAGCACACAGCCCGCGGCTGAGCTTCGCCGCGGCAGGGCACCCACCGACCGTGCAGGCGGCAGGAGGGGGCAGTGTTTGAAAGTCTAGTAAAGGCAACGAAACAGCTTCTCTGATTCTAAATCCCTTTGACTAGAAAAATGATCTGTACTTTAAGAGAGTATATTCAAAATATGCACCAAGTGTAAATAACGAAGACATTTCTAATAACCGCACTGCTTAAAATCCACCAGGACTGGGAAGAAATTGCGGTTCTTTCTCTTTAGCGTGTATCATTTCTGGTCTCTAAGTAGCAAAACAGAAATTAGACTTTAAAGTTATTTCAAGTTTTAAAAAGTGTTGAATTAGATATTTTTCTTACATTGATTTGAATTAATGTACTTATTTCATATAAAATTAAACACTACCTGTGTCATTTTTTCCCCTTGCTTTTGAAAATCAGTTCTAAAAACAAACATAGCACGCGCCCTGGAGGTCCAACGATTTAAAATCACTGTTCCCTGCAACGCGATAAACACGCGCTCCGGCTCTGAGCGAGGGCTGCGCCCTGGCTGGCACTGCGAGCCCGTGTCTGAGTGAGGTTCCGGCCGGACCTCATTCCTGTGTGGGCCACGCCACGGGGGCGAGCGAGCGCCCCGAGCCCGTCGCGGCAGGACCCCCGCCCCTCCGGAGGCGCGCCTCTGCCTCCTGCGGGGGCGGCCCGGGCGGACGGGTCCCGCTTTGCCCGTGGTCTGCAGGGAAGGCGGGTTGACGGAAAATGGCATCCTGGGCGACTTTTCCTGTGAAATCCTGCTTTCCACCTTTTTCAGCTTCTGGAAATCTCTGCTGCCTGCCAGGGGAGCCTTTGGGCCGCACGACTAGATAACCCACTTAATCCTGGGGGCGCACGCGAGTCGCCAGGTGCCGTTTAATGCGCGGAACACGGGGGCCGTGTCCTGTCGCAGGCCGGCCTGACTTTTCTGGGGGCAGGGGGCCCCCTGGGCCGGTGATGGATGGCTCGTTCTCTTTGAACAAGAGTCAAGATGGCGAGTGCCCCGCGGGGGCAGACCGGTGTGGTGGGAACGGGCAGAGCCGCCCGGCTCAAGCCCACCTGGCCAAGCCGCCCCTCTGAGGAAGCATCGTGCGCCTGGCCGCTTGGGCTGGAGGCGCGGGCTCCCCACACAGCTGCCAGGCTCGTCCCTGCGCCCGCACGTGCGCCGTGGCAGAGATGCGCTTTGCTCTCACCCTCCCCGCCTCCCCGCCTCACGCCTCGCCTGTCCGGCGCGTGGCCGGGCCTGTCTGTGGGGCCGGCAGGGCCCGACGTCTGAGGGGACGGAACCCAAGGGCCCTTAAGGATGACTCCGCCCCAGGACTCGGCTTTCTAGATACTGTCATCTCACCACTCTGCAGGCAGAGATCAGAACGCAAACTAATCATTTCGTCCAACTTAGAATGGCGGTAATGAAGTTTTTGTAAGAAGTCACTTGAAAATTTCCCAGTATCAATTTCACTGTGAGAAACAAATATTAAAGACTAGGGAAGAAAATTAGAAACATTTAAGATATCACCTCCCTAGTTTTATCAAATACGCAGTCACATGAAAACCCCCGGTTGCTTCCCGATGCTGTTTTATCACTGGGCGATCGTCCCACTTTCGGGGGTCAGACCGACTGAGGGGAGCGGCTCAGCCAGCAGCTCCGCCGGGAGACCCCACCGCAGCCCGCGGACAGGGACCGTGGACAGAGCGCCGCCTGCGGTCACCTGGCCCAGGTCCGCTCCGTCACAGAATGCAGTACGGAGAATCCCCAGCCGTATCATGGCTTTATGCCCAGTTTGCAAAGAGCTTTTAACCAGGAATTGAATTTCAATTTTAAGTGATTTTTTTCTGTATCTTTTGATATTATGACTTTCCCCACTTATTTTGTTAATAAGATGATTTTTTCCCATTTCTGTAATAAACTTGTTAGTACAGGTTTTTCAAGAAGCAAATACCAAGGAGCGATCAGACCTACAGGACATTTATTGGGAGAAATGGCTGTGAGGGACGATGGCGACTGTATCAGAAGCAAAGAGCCTCCACAGCGTCTCACCCTGGGCACGATCGACACTCATCAGCTCCCCTCAGAAGTCACGCCCAGACCCGGCCCACGGGGGCCAGGCTGGCCGAGCGGCCGCGGCCCGGAGCGGCCTGCCCACCGGCCCCCCCGCCCGCCCGCCGCCCGCGACTAGTCTGGGTTCTCAGTGAAGGGCCTGGTCAGAGACAGGCGATGGCATATCTCGTTGCACTCCACGTGCTGGTGGTTAAAGAAGTAAGCAATGCCCCGTCTTCCAAAGTTGGCAGCGACGCCTTCCTGCTCGGCAGAGTGGATCTGGGGGTCTGTCAGGTAGATGAGCCCCTTCCCGTCACCGGTCACCCAGCCTGGAGGAGGGAGGAACACGCCTGAGGACAAGGCCTCTGTGAACGTCATCAAAGTATTTCAGAAAAAATACTTCCGTACCTACACAGACACTTAAAACTCAGTCATCCTGTGCTTTACATTGAATACATTTCTGCGAAGGGATTTGGTATTACGAACTCCAATGATTGTTTTTAAGAAGAACTGAATACTGGATAATTAAATATGTCATATATGACATATCCAAACCACCGATTTTCGAGGAACTAGAGAGCAAAAAAATGCACTTATGTAGTTACTAAAGTCACAATATTGAATGGTTCTTTCAAATTCACACATTTCTTTCGTGCCTTATTCACTAATCTGTATATTCCTTTGCTTAACAAATATTTATTGAGCGCACATAGTGCACAACGCACTGGTGCAGACGCTGGCGATACAGCGATGGACCAGTTCGTCAGCTATGTCTGCGCCCGCTGAGCTGACATGCTTGTGAGGTGGGGCAGACGGAAGACCGATCGGAGCAAGCGCAAGTCACAGCGTGACAGAGAGTCGTGAGGCGACGGAGAAGATCTGGGAGGAAGTCAGAGAGTCACTACCAGAAATAATCACAATTAACCTCATTTATCATTTAAACAAAGTGTAGAGTGTTGGCTAATGATTCTGGCAAATAATACACCAGAAGAACGGAAGCAACATTAAAGTATTAATGCAGAAAGTGAAAAGGAAGTCAGATCCAAGGACACACGGTTCTCGGTTCCCGAATGATCCCAACATCACACCTGTAACAAAGGCGGGAGGGAGGAAAGAGGCGGAAGATGTTGACACCCTGACAATGTGCCCCGAGGACGCCTGGCCACTGCAGTCTGCCAGGGGACATTTAAAAGGCTGCCACGGCTTTGCTCCAGAATTTAGTGCAACAGAATGTGAGCCCAGTCTTTGCAGTGACTACTGGGCACCTTGGAGACCTACAGACATTTTAGGTATTTTCTCAGGCATCATTTGCTGCATCGAGTCAAATCGATTAATTCCGAACGTTCACTGCACAGTGTATTACAGAGAGATTGGTAGAGCTAGTTACAAAACCTCACGTTTACAAATAAATAATGCTAAATATAAAAAGCAATCCCCAGTTTCACATACCTTGTAAATCTACTACAACATCTCTGTGATTGGAAAACTCGTAACAAAAGTGGCCGTAAGCCAAGCCATATTCTGTGGCCTTGTATTCTGTTTTCACCACTTTTGTGTTATTTGATAATTTTACAAATTCTCCCAGTATGTAAGGCTCCACACTGACGCATCCTTGTATCGTCTTGTCCTCTAAAATCTGGAAAACAGAAACGGGAGCAGTGTGGCCTAATGTGAAGGCACGGGCTTTGGAGACCGGGAGATGCCACTGTGCGCCTTGGCTTTGCCACTCGGGAGGTTGGCCACTTCCAGATGTTTGCATGTGAAGTGCTGAAGATGGTACGGCACAGAACAGAGCCCGAAAGTATTACCCTTGCATTAAAGTGCTCGCGTCACCCGTGGGCTGTGCTCTCTGACCCTGGGCCCCGGGGTGGGCTTGCCCGGGCACGTGGCCAGGCTGTGAGTGGGGGTCCAGGCTGCTCCCCCCGCGCAGCCCCTTCTCTGTGTGAACCACTTTGTAGACTTGCTTCAGAGGGTTAGGGTTGATGTTAAGTGCCTGGCATAGTGCTCGACATAAAGAAAGTGCAAAACAGAAGATAGTTGATTATTGTAATAAAAATGGGCCTGACCAGGCCTAAAACACCTTCAGGTGTGAACGGGGATCTTTGGAGAAGCAGGATCTTCTCAATCCAGAGGGGAGACGAGTCGGCGGGGGCAGCGGCCCTCGTGTGTGTGTGTGTGAAAGGGCGTCTTGTGAGGAGAGTAGACCCTGTGGTCCCGACAGACAGAGCTGAGCCGTGGGTAGAAATTAGAGGGGGGCAGATTTGGAACAAAACCTTCATAACAGATTTATCGGAAAGTGAAAGCGTAACAAGCACTTTTTCTCACTGCAGGTGCTGAGGCTGCGGCATGGGGTTGGGGGTCAACAGGTACGAGATGGGGCCCGTGTGCCACGCTGAGGGCACAGGCTGCGTCAGACGCAGCCTCCGAAAGTGGAGACGCGGGAAGGGAAGGGCTGCTGAGGGCCAACCTGGCCGCGCGGGGCCAGACGCGGGACCTCGGGGATTCCCGCGTGACCGGCCCACTCGGGGGACGATGGTCCTGCTCTCGCTCACCTGTCTGTGTGGAGGAAGCAGGCAGAGGAGGCTGGTGAGCGGGCTGGCTGAGTTTCCCCGGAAAGGGGTGGAGGAGGGTGGATGGTGGGTCGGGGAGAGACATCTACCCTAATCGCAGGTACGGCCCGCTCACCCAAGGGCCGCGCCCTTCAGCCTTACCAGCAGGATGGCAGACGGGATGTAGAATATCTGCGTGGGAATCTTCTGTTCGTAAAGTCTCTTGTTGAACTCAGTCACGTAGTGCTGGGCGGTCATCTGTCGCTCCACGTCGGAGAAATGGAGCCACAGCTTCTTCGGGCTCTTGTACTCCTTCCCAACGTATCTACGAACACACGAAGCCACCACGGTGGCCGTTCCTGGAGGATGCAGCCATTGCGGCTCCCTGCTCCGCGCCATGCTCTCTGACCCTGGGCCCTCGCCGGGCAACTGCGCCCTCCGGTCTCTCAGCCACCGCCCCGAGCAGGTGGCCCCGGGCTCCCAGTCGTGTGTCGACCGGGATGCGCCGCACCCCGGGCCTCGGAGGCCCTCTCGCCTCTTCTGCAGGCCTGCAGATGCGCCAGAAGGGTGGCCTTCCTGGTCTAGCTCGGCCCCTGCCGGACTCTGAGCCAGTGCCTCCCGCTTGCGCTCCTGCTGGCGGGCCCACACGCCACCCGTCTCGCCTGTCCTGTAGGGCGGCAACGTTCCCAGGCTGGGCCTGAGCCGTCGGGCCGTGCACGACAGCTGACGTAGCGTCGGTCAGCCCGTGGAAACTGTTCCCAGCCAGTGAATGAGGGTGAGAAAGGAGGGGGAAGCTGAGGACGCGTGTTCTGGCCAACTTCCTCCGCCTTCTCGAAAACCCGTAAGGGATCACGGCGGCCCGCCCGTCAGCGGAGGGTGTTCCCAGCCCCGGGGAGACGCCTGAAACTCCGATTCCTCTACACGCGACATTTTTCCTGTGCGTGCACACCTACGACAAGGATTAATTTATAAATTACTCACAGTGAGAGAGTAACAATAACCAATGGCTCGCGCACTGTATAAGGTATGCGAATGGGGCATTTGGATATAAAATCGGGGTGACTCGAACCCGGGCACTGGGATACCTCAAGAGCTGACCTATGACAGAGATGCTACTCAGTGACCCACGGGGGGGACACACTGGAGGAAGGGGCGCGTCATGCCCCAAGCGGGCAGCGGGGGGTGGTGTGAGGTGTCCTTGGAATGGCACACACTTCAAATTTACGAGTCGTTTGTTTCTGGAATTTGCAGGCCGCGCTTGACCAGGGGTAAGTGAAGGTGCAGAAAGAAAGAGCAGGCGAGGGGCGGCCGTCGTCCGCAGAGGGGAAAATCAGGCCTTTCCACGTGAGTGACGCCGACGCTTTTGAGCAATACCTCCCCCGAGCTTCCTCTTGGTGAAGATGATGAACCCAGAAGGCGTTTCTCTGTCTGCCCTTCTTCTTCACGGCCAGGTAGTCCCCCAGATAGACGGCGGTCTCCTGGGCCGTCCACAGGTCGGCCTTCTTAGAATACTTCAACAAAAGAGCGTCTGCAGAAAAAGAGGAGGACAATGGGTCTTATTTTCCAAATGACGTCTCCATTCAGGGACCAAGGTGAGGTGACACAGGTCCTCGTCCAGCTTATCGGAAATCTTCGATTTCTTTGTGCATTTCTCAAATTTTAACCGTGACTACCAATAAAAAGGTAGCGAAGCACAACAAACTAGGGAAGCTTTAGAATAACACGAAGAGCAGACTGCGAGCCACAGAGTCTCGCTTGCGATGGCAGCGCTAAGGAAAGGCAGGGTTTCCGCGGGACAGCAAGGAGGCGAAGGGCCCCGGAGACGCCCGGTCCCAGCCCAGGCACCCGCTCTCGTCCTGACGACCTGCGCGCCTGGCGGCACGGCCAGAAATGACTCAACAGCTCCGGGGACCCTGGATTCCACCTTGACACACACCCCGGTTCTCTCTCCCTTGTTTCGTTTAAGCCGGGAAAGTCCAGGACCAGCCACTGGACGAAGATGTAAACTCAGCTGAAAAGGAAAAGGTAGGAAAAAATAAGGACCGTCTCGGCCGTGAAGAACGGAGGAGCAGGAAACCAAGCAGCAGCCCTTTGAGGAGAAAGACCAATGTGGACCCTGAGGACGAAATGCTCCACGTTAGGGCCTCGTATGATGTCGCTTTACACGGCATAAAAGACAGCGAGCGCGAGCGGAGCTGCGGTCCCAGGGGTGGAGGGCAGGGTGGGGCGGGCGCCGAAGGAGGCAGCTCAGCATCCAGTCCGGGGTGCGGCGGACAGCGGGCCCCGGGCAGTGGGCCACACACACCGGGGGCCGTTCAGGGAGGGCACCCTGAGAGCCCCCCTCATAAGGAGAACGTTTTCCTCCTCCTTCGTCTTTCTTCCCTTTTTATTGTGTTTACATGGGAAGACGGGTCCAGGGAGCCGACCGGGTTCAATTCATGACACACACGGTCACGCGTCCTGCCATGCCCGGGACCTACACAGTGGTGCCCGCTGATCATTTCTCAATAAAACTGGGAAAAAAAGGGGGGGAGTCCTGGCGCCTGACCCACAGCCCGCGGTGTCGGACGGGGCCCTGTGGGCGAGGCCCGAAAGCCCAAGGGCCCCGGGGCCACGTGGCTCCAGGACGGAGCCGGGCGACTTCAGACCCCAGGGTGCAGCGAGCCACAGGGCTGCTTCTGCAGGGCCCTTCGCTGTGGGTTTTTTTAAAATTTCAATCATCCTTCAGTGTCTTGGGCATTACAATGGGATCCTCTGGGCTGAGAGGAGAACGCTCTTTTGTTTCCTTCCCAGCGTCTCCACCCTCCTAAGCCGACCGGGGCCGCAGGGCACCCGGTGGGCGGGCCGCCGCAGGGGGAGCCTCGGCTGCTGCTCAGGCAGGAAGCAGCGCTGACCGTGTCGGGGGACACCTGACCCGTCCACTCGCTGGCCGAAGCCTCTTGGTGCGCAGGTATGGGAGCCTCTGCCCTCGGAAGGCTGGTGCTCCCCGAGTCAGACTGTCCCTGGGGAGCTGTGTGGAGGAGCTTGGAGCAAAACCGCGGCGTGTTAGTAAGAACGAAGGAGCAGACGCGGCGAGGAAACGGCTCCCGGAGCTGCCCGGAGCCCGAGTGTCCCCACATCCGCCAGGACTCTGTCTCCTGACCCCCTTGTGTGTCTATACAGCAAATCCCCAAACACCAGGCGGCCGAGAGGCCTCTAGTCCTGGGACCTGCAGAGCCCACCCACCTGTCAGGGTGCCTCAGGCCCCACTGCACATACCCCCCCATTCCCCTCCCATCCCCCCGCCATGGCAGGCCCATCTCCCCTGCACTTTGAGAGGCGAACGCAAGCCCCTCCCGGGCCCCCAGTGCGCAGGCGCCGCGGGCGCCGCGGCCGAGGCGGGCGCACTCACCGTAGGCCCGGTGGAGCCGGCTGGGCCTGAACACCCCCGTGTGCTCCAACCTCTGGAACAGCCACTCGTGCGTCACCCCTGCCAGGAGCCTTTCGAGGTCACCGGGCTGCAGGGTGCGAGCCTCGAGGGCCTCCTGCCTCCCCGCTCCTGCCAACGACACGAAAGAGCTCCCGCTGGAATTCAGGTAGGACCAGGGCTCGCCCCATTCGGAGGACCCGCTGGAAAACAGCAGGGAGTTCCACCCGCTCGCCAGGGACGAGCTGGAGCTGTGGCTGCTTCTGAGCACATCCGGCGCATCCCCTTCCTCGGTGGTGGTGCCGTCCCCGCGGCCCGCAGGGGCGAGGGGCGGCCTCGGGGTGCAGAGCCCGGGGTGGCCCCACTGCCCCGCGGGGCCGGGGAGCTGGCCCTGCTCGTCTGCCGTGGAGGCGTCGGGGTCCACGTCCGGCTCCGGGGCTGAGCCCCTGCACTGTCCCCAGTCCGGGCCCCGAGCGGGCCAGAGCGGAGCAACAGCGCCAAGGGCCACCGCGGGAGCCCGGCCCGGAGAGTCGCCCACGGCCCCCCGGGGGCCCCGGCGCGTGTCCCCTGTGCTGTCCGCAGTGTCCCCTTCGGGGTCCACCTGCGGGGGGCTCCCTGTCCATGTCAGTCCTGTGCCGTGGGTGCGTCCCCCCGCCTCCCCTCCACGCTCATCTCCGGCACCACAGCTGATCCCTGGAAAGTCATCGGTCGCTTTGAAGGGTTCTGCTCCTTGGACTGAAGGAGGCAGGACCGTGTTCCTGGGCCAGCCAGGGTCTGAGGACCAAGAAGCAGGCCCAGACGCAGGGCTGGGGTGAGCAGAAGCGTCTCTGGAGCCCGTAGTGGTGACTTCCTGCGTTTCTTCCCGCCGCCCCGCGCCGGAGGCCACGGACCTGCCCCTGGTGCCAGGAGGAGGGGCAGTGGCCAAGGGCACGCGAGATGGAGGGGACTCGGCGCTGTCCTCTTTGGACCCTGGGAAAGAGAGGCCACGAAGCTCCGAAGCCAACGAACACAGGGCTGTGCTCCCTTTGTGGCTCCCCTGCGCCTCGGCCGCGGGGCCCGGCGCGCCCGCCGGACGCTCTTCGCTCGGCTCTCCTCTGGCTGGGCTCCTGTCTCCGTGGTCACTCACCCCCTCCCAGCTGGTGCAAGAGCTGCCCCCTGAGAGCGCGTCCCAGGAGCTGGAGCTCTGGCTGTCACTCAGAGGAGCTCCCTGGCCGCTGCGGTGGCCCGGTGGTTCTGCCTCAGTCTCCGCATTGGGGTCCGAGGGGACTTGGAAGGCGTCCGAATGGGCCCAGCCTCTCCTTCCTGCCCTCCTGGGCACCTCCTGGTTGCCCTGAGCCACCCGGGAGGGGGACATTGCCCCGCCTGCCTGGGGACATGGCCTGTCCTCCGTGCTCACGGTCTCTGCACTTCTTGTGTCTGTTCTAAGTGCAGTGATGCAGACTCCTGGGTCTGCATCATTGTGTGTGCTTTTCTTGTTTTCACAAGTGCTTCGGAATACTTCACACACGGACGTGTGGTGCTGTGAATAGGTTTCGAGGAGCTTCTGGAAGTCTGCCGGCCCGTGCAGCATGGGCTGGTGTGGCCCACACGTGAAACCCGCCGGGACGTAAGCCCCGTCTTCTGAGACTGCAGAGCTCCGCACCTGCAAGTGGTCCTTCACCTGGGCAACAACGCACATGATGTCCCGAGCGAGAGCGGCTCTCTCCTGACTCCCGGCGGACACGGCGAACGCGTACAGCTTCCCCAGGGCCTCGCTGCAGAGCTGCCTGGCCGCGCGGCCCGGCCCCGTCTCGCCGTGCAGCTGGCGGTGCGCCGTGGCGAGGCCGAACGCAGCCCGGAGGAGGCTGTGGAGCTCCTGCCTCCCGGTTGCCGGCTCGCCGCGCCTCTGGGTGAGGAGGCCGATCTCAAAGGCTTCTCTGGCTTCCCTCAGGTGCGTGGCCCTCGCAGCCCGAGGACAATCGGCAGAGCTGGTGTATGACAACAAGCACGTGCCACGGATGTTCTGAGAAAACACCAACCACAAAATTAGGCGTGGAGCCGAACGTGGGCGGTAACCCAGGGGACCGCTCGCTCCTGGAGAGCAGCCCTTAGAACACGGAGGAGCAACATGCGCGGGGGCGCATGACGCCACGCAGGCGCCGCGGGCACGCTCAGAAGAAGGTGCCCTCGAACCCTGAACGCAGTCCTCCTGGTGCACGCGGAGGAGGGCCGGCCGGGGCACTGGCCGGAAGGAGCTCCCCGCTGGAGCCCCAGACCCTGCAGCCTCGGGTTTTCCGTCAGTGCTGCCGCAAACGGCGTCCGCAGGGGCTGGGGCAACAGCCTCTTGTGCAAATCAGGCTGCTCTGCAGAAACGCAGCGCTCACGCAGCGGGAACCGCAGACGAGCGGCTCCCGGAGCCCCCGTGTGCTTGGGTCACCTGGGCAGCGTTTCAACGCTGAAGGTCTCTGGGAACCAACCCCAGAATCTGGGTGCAGCCCAGGGGCGTGTCTTCTGAAGAGGCTCCCTGGTGAGTCCCAAGGGCTGGGGACATGGCCATGGGGCCGGCGACACCCAGTCCTCAGGGGAATTAGCGGGGCCCGCCAGGGTGTCCCCACCCTGCCCCATGAAACCTCCGCCCGGGAAGTCGGATCCCGTGCGTGGCCGTGGCCCCCGCGCCCTGCTTACCATGGCCGTGAGCACGAAGAGCGGCGTGTAGGGGCTGAGGGCGGCCGCCAGCTTGCAGGCCTCGGCAGCCGCCAGCAGGCGGTGGTCCCCGTCCCTCAGCAGGCCCTGGGAGAGAGCAGCCGCAGCGACAGGCGGGCTGTGAGGGTGGGTCTCAGGGATGCCCTGCCCCCCACCACTTGAGAACTGGGTCACGAAAGAGTGACCCCTCCCATACCACCCCCACCCCAGAGAGGGCCCGGCGTGGGCAGCAGCTGTGGCGCAGGCGGCACCGTCCTCGCTGACGGCCCTGGCGGAGCTCCGCACGTGCCGTGGCCGGGTGAGCGGCCGCTTCCTGAGTTGTCCTCGGCAGAGAGCCCTTGGACCTATGGATTCCCGGCAGCTAAGTTTTCTCTCTTCATTTTAGAATCACGCACGGAGCACCTTGGTGGGCGAGGTGCTGCGCTAGGCACGAGGACGGGCAGGCGGGGAGCTGCCGGGAGCTCGCTTTCTGCTGGGGGTGGGTCTGACCCAAGGGGAGGGCCACGCCTGCGGGCGGGGCTGGGAGGTGCAGGAGGGGGACAGCTTCGCTGAACAAGGGACAGGATCCTCCTGCCGCGTTTATCTGGCAGCAAATGCAACAGCTAAGGTTCCGATCACTGCGAGCAAGCTGTGTGTGTGTCCTCACGCTGCTGGCACAGAGCGCGGCCACCACCGTCACCTGGCACTTAACAAAGACGGCGACCTTGGTGACCGCATGACAACCTCAGCTTCTGCGCAGTGCGGGAGGGCAGGCCTGCGTCCCGCCGAGGGAGACCCTGAGCCTCGGGGCCGGGCTCTGCTGTGGGCGGCTGCCTTCGCGGCTGCAAACCGCACGCCGCCCTCAGCCCCTTCGGAGCTCAGCTCCTCTCTCCCTGAAATGGGAGGGACACCTTCTGCCCAAAGGGCTTCATGTGGCTCATACCCCTGCTTCCTGGGTTGTAAAGCAACGTACAAGCAGCAGGAATTGTTATCAGCGAGCCTAGTGGCCTCGATAGGCGACTGATGCTCTGCTTTGAACAGATGATGGTGGCACTTTAAAAATTATGACCCCTTTCCTCGGTCGTTGAGGGGGCCCAGGTGAGGAAATTGAGTTTTGCGATCATTTGAAAGCTCCTCCCCCATCACTGAGCGCCCATGGCAGGTCCGGGGCCGGGTGCTGGAGTAACACGGCCCACGGGACACACGGAACTGTCCCCTGCAGTGTGGACGCCGCCTGCCAGGGGAGACGCTGTGCTCCCTGACCCCGGCCCAGGGGACGAGACTGACCGTCCGCACCGTGGTGCGGCAGGCGATAGTTACCAAGTTCACCCGTGGGTTGTCTTTGAACTTCTCGTACTCTTGCTCACTCATGGACACGAAGAGGTCTGCCAGTATCCCTAACGATGTGGAGATGCCCTGTAGGGAAAGACAGACAGACAGACAGACAGACGGGAACTCAGGGTCGGTCACTGCTCTTGCCCTGGCCTGAAGGTGATCTGCCCTCCCTGAGGACGAGGGCCTAGTGTGATTGCTGTTCCTGTGACACGTGAAATACTCTCACACCCCGAGGACGCGGGTGCCGTGCCCACACAGCTCGTCCTAGTTGGGCTCGGCCGGCTCGCCCCACGCCGCGGGCTGCCGGCAGCTCAGGGGACACAACCCGATGTCTCTGCGGTGGGAGGACGTGCCCGGAGCTACAGAGAATGAACCGCCTGCAGGAAAGCAGGTCCTGCGTCTCAGCTTCTTGAATGAAGACCCCACGTAAATAATTAAGCGACGCCTTTGTCCACGCAACTCAAGGAAACAATTCTACGTACAACCAGCTGGGTGCTCTCAGCGTCACTGTGGAACCGCACAAGGCTCACCGCATAGTGAAGCAGACGCGTGACCGGCCCAGGGGACGGGCACATGTGGGCAGAGGGTCACAGGTCAGTGCAGAAACACTCACGATCGGCCCGGAGTCCAGCGCCAGCGAGAACAGAGCGAGCGCGGGAGCTGGCGGCCCAGGGCCGGTCCTGCGCCCACGCGGAGCCAACAGAACCAGGACCAGCGCAGCCGACGCGCGAGGAACCGGGTTGCGCCACAGGGGTCGGCCGCCCAGGACGAATGTGTGGAGGGAGGAGGAAAGGGCTCAGAACCAACCTTCTTATCCGGCTGAGGAAGCGCCAGGTACCCTGCGACTGAGGCCCACACCAGCTCGGCCGCCTCGGACCACATGCCTGGAAGGGGGACACAGGGGCACTGCTGGTGCTGGCTCTCGGGGCGGAAAGGAGACTCGTCCGCGCCCGTCAGAGAATTTCAGGCTGGGTCTGGCGGACGGACGTCGGTGGACAGCAATCTGCTTCCCAGTGTGTTCAACACGGGTGCCGGGGAAAGGGTAGGAGCCACCGTGCATCGTATGTGGTGTCATGTGTGCGAACACACAAAAAGTCACCTCCGGTGTTTGCAAGAATAACAATCACCTGCCTCTGTGACATTTTCAAACACTTCACTGTGTGCATGTTGGAGTGTAATTACGGTTCTGTAAACTAGGCTTGAAAACTCCTAAGTTCCTCCGCGGGTGAGCGGGGAGGGAGTCGGGGAGGGAGTCGCTAGTCAGGGGACCGAGGGTCCGCCTCCAGAGAGGACGCGGCGAAGCCCAGGGCGGCGCTCGCGACGGACAACCAACGGTCAGCCTCGGACTCAGCCGGACACGTTCGTCGCCCGAGCGCCCATCGCACTCCCGCGGCCCCAGACGCCCGCCCCGTTTGCAGGGGACAGGGAAGCGGCCGCAGCGCGCACCCAGCTTCTGCAGGACCTGCCCGCGGAGCTGCACGCAGACGGCCTGCACCAGGACCCGGTCGCTCTCGTCTCTGTACAGCCAGGTGCCTGTGAAAACACAGGAGAGAAGCGGAGGGAAGGCGCTCGAGGCGGAGCGCAGCCCCGTGCGCGATGTGTTGGGGATTCGCGGCTGCCCTTTGCCGGCGCCCGAGGCCCGGAACCGACTCCTCCCTCGGCCACCCCGGCCAGGCGCGTCCCTCCTCGGGGGCCCACGTCCTTGGACTCCTGAGCAGACAGCTCCTGCCGCGCACTCAGGCCTCAGCCTCGGCGCCAGGGCCTCCAGGGCGCCCCGCGCAGCGAGGCCCTGGCAGCAGAGCATGTGGGCGCGCGAGGGTAGGGGTAGGCCTGGCGCCCCGCCTGACCTGAGCGGGGAAGGTGGGCGCGGCTCTGGTTTTTGCTGTGATGAGGGCGGGGCAGGGACTCACTGGTGGGTGAATGTCAGCCAGTCTGGGTGACGGCAAAAGGCGGGGGGACGGGGGGGGGGGCCGGGGAACGGGCCGGGGCCAGGACTGCCTGCCAGACCCCCTGGGTCGCCCTCCTCACTGTTCTCCGACTGGCCGCCCTCTGTGTTCTCGCCCTAGCTGTTAATTCCGGTGTGCACGCCTGTGCACACGTGTGTGTGTGCATGTGGGGGGGTGGAGAAGGGGAGCAGGGGGGCCACAGCGAGGCCGTGGGGTGGGCACTCGTATCCCAACCGGCCTCCCTGCTGGAAACGTCTGCAGGTGTCAAGGTCCTGGGGGCCTTACGTCCCAGTACGTGGAACTTGAACTCCACTGGAAATTGTGTTCAACTTACTGGGAAACTTCTTGACCAGAAATTCAGACAAGATATTGGACACATTATGTGATTTGTTACCCAACCTTTAGGACTTGCTTCCTTCCATGTGTGATTAAATATTGAAATATTTTTATTAAAGTTCTCATGCTGCAAAGTTTATTTTCCCAGCCACTGAGCTGCTGTTCCCCGCAGTCCCTCCTGAGGCCCCGGGGCAGCTGCCGTCATGGGGCCACCCTCTCGACCACGAGGCCGGGGCATACGAGGAGCCTTGGTCACTGCATCCTGTTCGCTCTTAGTTAGAGACAGTGGTGGGCAGGGAGGGGAGTGCTTGGCCAAAGCCACCGCCCTCATGGGTGGCAGGTGGCGGGAACGGCTGAGAACGGGTCCCACGCTGGACCTCGGGGACCCGAGGCTGAGGATCGCGGGAGGGTGTGAACGCACTTTACCTGTGGCTCCGTTGTTGCTGATCAGACTGCTCAGGATATATTCCGCTTTTAATAGCTTTCCTGCAAAGAAGCAGCCGAAGGCCACACCATCAGCTCTGAGCGTGGCTTTAAGCACCGCCCCTGGGTCACGCTCTAAGAGCAACACACCAGAGCGGGGCGTGCGACTGCCCTTGGAAAGGTTCTGCTCTGAAATCTAGAACCATAACTTCATCATGAACGAAAAGGAGAAGACGGACTAAGTCCCAACAGTCGGCAAGGCCAGCAGCCGCGGGGTCCGGAGCTGCGGCCCGATGCACGCACAGGGAGGGGGCGCCGCGCGTGGCGCCCGCGGCTGGAGAGGGGAGGCAGGCCTCTCGGGGCAGAGGCGCTGCCCCAGGACAGGGCTCTCACAGAACCTGTTTCCAGGACGTGAAGTTTTAGGGGGCAGGAGGCTCTTTCTACAGTGTTTGCTTCTGTGAGTTATTACCACCCAGGAGGGGCCTAGCCCACGGGTGGCCGTTCCCGTGAGCAGGACACGCAGTCGTTTACCGCCTGCCCCGCCCTCCTCGCCGGCGCCGGCAGGCCCTCCGGGCCCGTCCCCTGCGGCTCCTCAGGCCTCACCGCCCGGGACCCTCGGCCGCCTGCTTGGGTTGCGGTGGCTGCCTGGCTGTCCATAGACCCTGAAGGGCAGTTCACGCCCCAGGTCTTTGCTCTGTTTCAGTCTCCCCACGCAGAGCAGAACCGTCGCACGCCCGCCCGCCACGGCCCGCTCCCACGTCACACCCAGCAACGGCACGCACAGCGAAGGCCATGCCACCTGCTGCCATCAGGAGGAGCGCTAGTTGTCCGTGTTCCCTCGGACCCAAACCTTATAACATGTCCCAGACCCGGGACGTTTAAAGGGAGGACTTTCTCCCAAGGTCAACTCCGTCCCTGTGGTCCATCTAGAAAAGCGAGCGATCAGATGTGGGCGCACTTCAGGATCAGCCGCAAGAACGGGAAGGGGCCTGGGCTTGGCTCGGAGGGCAGGGCAGGACCCAGAAGGCCTGGCGCTACATGGGACGAGCCAGTCAGAGGAGGACGCGTCCCGCGTGACCTCACCCACGCGTGGATCCTGACAAGCACACCGAGTGACAGAGAGGCAGACTCCAGAGGGCGAGCAGGCCGACTGTGCTGCGGGGTCGGGGCGGGGCCGGCGGGCCGGCAGAGGGAGGAGCAAAAGAGAAAACAGGAGGAAGCCTCAGGGATAGGGACAGCAGTGCGGTGAGTGTGGGGGGAGGGGCGTGCGGAAAAAATGCAACGGAAGTAAATTAAAAAAATTAAAATTAAAAAAAGGAAAGCGAATGGGCTCGGGCATTTGAAAGGCCCCTTTCTGCCCCGTCCTGTCTCCTCGGTCCCTCTCTGAAGTCAGCTGTCCTCCCAGTGAGTGTCGTCAGTACAATTCCCGTCGAAGGGAATGCAGTGAAGACGCATTAACTGCTTACGGACCTGAGTCCCCGGAACAATAACGGCAGCTAAACCGTTTCTGAAAATAAGCCAGTCCTGCTCCCGGGCTGGGCAGCTCCCACTTTGGTCCTTTACTCTCCTCCTCGGAAACCAGGATAGCAGGCCACGCGTGCAGCCCTCACGGTCCCGGCGTGGGACTGCTGGGCCCCGTGGAGGGCGACTGGCTGGCCCTGGCGGAGCCCCTCCCCCACTGCGCCCGAGGCGCACTCGGGGCCTCCTTTTCTTTCATTTGCAGTGACAGGAGTGACAGGGGCGTTCCTCTCCGCGCCGCGCCCCGAGGGAACCGGGAACCGGGGCTGCCCCAGTGCTGGTGAGCCCTCCCTAGGGAGACGGCGGCGGAGGGAACGGGGAGCTCTGCTCTGCTCTCCAGGCTCCTGGTCAGGGGCCCGGCGACCCGGATCCCCTGTGTGAAAGCAGCAGGACGGGCCTGTCCGGAGACAAAAGCTCCAGTTGGTGCTCCCCACAGCCTTTCACAACGGTCTCCGCGCTCTGGCTCCCTTTATGCCGCGTCTTTGTGCTGGGGATGGCGGCCAGGGCAGGCAGGGCCCGCAGGACAGGGGGCCGCGGGGCGGCCCAGACGGGAGGGGCGGGCGCGCCTACCTGCGTTGACCGACACGCGGGCCTGGCGGATGACCAGCTGCGGGGCCATCGGCGCGGCCGGCCACAGCGTGTGCAGCGCCTTGGCCACCTGCAGGGCTTCGCGGGACGCGTCAAGCCCATACAGCAGCCGGTCGCTCACGAACAGGATGGCCGCCGCGGTGGCGTAGTCCCGGGCAAGGATGGAGGCCTTCAAGGACACCTGGAGGTCGTGAAGGGACACAATGAGCTGGTGAGACCGGGCGCCTGCCCCGCAGGGAAGAAGGCGGGTCTGGGCCAGGCGCCTGGTCCCCCAGGTGTTTCTTCCCTCACGAGGACAACAACAAAGCCTCTGGAGCAGGAGAAGGGATGCCGTGTCAGGTCACTGAGCCGAGGGGAGGGAAGTAAGGAAAAGTCCAGTTCAGCTGCGGGATAAACAGCACTTGTCTCCCTCCATTTCCCCGTCCGCTCCTCATACAAACAGTAAACGCGCACGTGAGGTCTGTCCGGAAAAAACCCAGCCATCGTTAATCTAATGAGAACAGTGCGTGTGACATTGACGTCACCCGGCGGCCAAGGAGAGGGGACTGGAATGCACACGTGTGAATAATGACGACTTCACTGTATGAGCCAGTGGGGGTGCTGGCTGCCCGTGAGTGAGCATGTGCCCTGTGCGACGCTCACATTCAAACTGACTGAGCGTATAGAGCAACAAATCTGCATCAAATTTTCCATTAAGCTTGCACATTCCTCCCTGGACACTGTGTGGATGATTCAGAGGCCGTAGCCATGGGCGCCTGGTGATTGGCAGCTTCATCACGACAACGCTCCCGCCTCATGCATCGCATCTTGTGCAGAGGTTTTTGACAAAACATCCAAATCACCCCGCAGACTCAGCCCCCCTACAGCCCAGATTTGGTGCCCTGTGACTTCTAGCTTTTCCCAAAACTAAATCACCTTCGAAAGGGAAGCGATTTCAGACTGTTGATGAGATTCAGGAAATACAATGGGGCAGCTGATAGCGACTGGGAGACCTGTGTGAGGTCCCAGGTGCCTAGTATGAAGGAGATGTCATTGTCCTCTGCACAACGTTTCTTGTATCCTATATCTTCTTCAATAAATGTCTCTTTTTTTAGGATTCCATGGCTGGACACCTTCTGGGCAGACCTCGTATTACCAAATGACACGAGGTAAACATGGGAAGTGCCCCTTCGTTTCCCAACTCATTTTCTGCCTCTGCCCCGTGACCCGGGCGCAGGGCAAGGGGCGGCCTGATCCGGCCCACACGCCGGGCGCGGCACCGGAGCTGCTCTGGCTGGAGGAGGCGGAGTCCTCTCTGCTCTTGCGTGACCCGTCTCACTGGAAAGCCACCCTGTCCGTGCTGTCGGGCTTGGCCGAGCGATCCCTCTGACGTCACCGGAAGCCCCCGGCTCTGGGCCTGTGGGCGCCAACCCCTGGGCTCTGACACTGAGCGACATCTCCCAGGCAGCCTTGGCCAGAACGAGAGGTGCTGCTTAACTTCGCGTCTGTCTGAGGCTCCTGCAAAGGGCTCCTCTTCCCGCCGCCAGGATGCAGGCGGCGAAGGCCAGACCCGCCCAAGGGCCCGTCATTCTTGGTGCCCGACAGACCACAGCCTCCGAAGGGCGACCGCTCTGCCCCAGGCCCTGCCTGTGAAGCAGCTGTGTGTCCAGCTTCTGGGCTGTGACCCCACCTCCCCACCCCACCACCGGCTGCAGGCTAAGCTGGAGCACCTGCGCCACACCTGGCTCCGTGGCCCTTTGAACCGGCTTCCAAAAAGGGAACCTGTTCATCTGAACTAAGAGCTTCCAGGTCCCAGGACAGAAAGCAGCAGGAAGGAGGGTTGCTCAGGCACCTGCGGCCAACACCTGAGTGAAGGTCCGAGAACAACGGCCGCAGGCCAGGCCGCCTTATTGTTGGCGCGGTCCCCCACCCTTTCGTCCCATGTGTGTCTTCGTCATAATGTGGCTTCAGAATAAAACGCGCCCCATCCATGAGTTTGCGCAAGCGAGCCCCTGTTCCCACCAACTAAAAAATCGAACTGAAACGGAAATGCTCAAAACTCTATCAGGGAATGTCAAATGAACCATCAATCTGAAGAACGCAAGTTTTTTATTTTTTAAATATGTCCTCAACTGAAGACATGCTTATTGATTTTAGAGAGAGGGAAAGGGAGGGAGAAAGAGAGGGAGAGGGTCGCCAAGGTGAGAGACATCGCTTGGTCGCCTTTCGCCCGCGCCCCGGCCGGGGCCCAGCCATGCAGCGAATCGGCGGCCTTTCAGTTTGCAGGACGAGGCCCCATGAAATGAGCTGCTCAGCCCAGGGCCAAGGAACACAGGTTTTAAAGGAGAACGATTCATTCATTCGACGTCCATAGAATGAATATTCAAAGATGGGAAAGAAACGATGCTTCCTGCCTGCCCCGCTTTGAGTGCTAAGGCTGGTTTCGGTGGGGCCAGCCTCTGGCCCGCAGCCTCTGCTGCTTTCTGTGGAGCTCGTGGCTTCTGCTGAAACCTGCCGGGCTCCCTGCCATCTCATCTAATGTTATTGCAACCAAAACACCTGAGTAAGACAGGGAACCTGAGGCTGAGAGGTCACGTGGCTTTCCAACGTCATGAAGTCGAAAGGGTCCAGCCCGGAAGGAACTCAAGCCTCTGTCTTTTGCTCTCTCTCGCTCTTTTTTTTTTATTATGGTCAAAACACAAAACATAAAACGCACCCTCGTCACCATTTTTAAGCGTCCACGCGAGCAGTGTAAGGACGCACCTGTTTGAGTCAGTTTTCTGGAACAGTTCCGTCCGGCAAACACAAACCCTAAACCCATTCAAGATCCCCTTTCTCTTTCTCTTTCCAGCCCCGGGAAACCACCATTTTACTTTCTGTTGTTATGAATTTGACTATTCTGGGCACCTCAAATAAGGGAAATCGTACATTTTTGGGGTTTTTTTTGTGGCTGGCTCACTTCGCTGGGCACACCGTCCTCTGGGGTCACCCCGTTGCGGCAGGGACGGGGCTCCCTGCCCTGGAGGCTGACAGCACTCCCTGGTACGTGTGGGCCACGCACTGCGGGTCCATCCACCCGGCACCTGACGTTTGCGTGGCTTCAAGCGCCTGGTTATTGCGACGAGTGCTGCAAATGCCTCCTTGAGACCCTGCTTTCAGCTCTTGGGTAAATCCCCCCGGGGTGGGGTTGCTGGACCTTTTAGCAGAGGATGCGCCATCACTGTTTTCCGTGGAAGTCACACCACAGAAGTCACCCCCCACCCCCGGCCCCTGGGCGCGGAGCTCGGGTCCCCAGTGCTGCGCTGCCTCAGGCTTGGAAGGACTATGGAGCGGACGCTCTGCGCGGCGCCTGGTGTGTTGTGGGTGCTGAGTGAATGACAGGGAAAACTAGGGGACAGGAAAAAGTCGCCTCGCGCATCCTCACGGCCGTGCATGACGAAACTGAGACACGCAAAACCGGCCTCCCGAGTTCCTGCCAGTGGATCTTCCAACAGAGTAAAAAGGAAGCAACAGCCACGCACCCAACACCTACAGGGCTTATCTGAGAAAATGGCCAAGTCTCCAGGTTTTAAAAGCTCTCTCCTTCTCTTCAGCCCTTCTGAGGTGTGTGGTTGCTGGAAACCGAGAGGAAAGGGGGTGCGGGCTGTGGCAGGGGTGGAGGCACCCCGTCCCCCACACGTGCGGGAGGCTCTGGGCCCCGTCTTTGGGGGCCGCACACCCCACTCTGGGCCCCATGAACACGCCGAGCCTCCGGCGTGGCCTCATCTGTTTTCCCTCCTATTCTTAATAGATTGGCGCACAAAAGCCTGAGAGAGGGTGACCTGCCAGACAAAGGCCCTTTGAGCTCCTTGGAAAGTAGACTTGGAGGAGATGGAAGGGGTCCAAGTGGCCCTATTATTTCCACTTGCACTAATTAGACATTTTTCTGTCAGCCATTGAGCACTGCTGAGAGGCCAAACTCGCTGAATTCACTTCTAAAGTGTTTACAGAAGTTTGCATCTGTTTGTGTCTCTTCAGGAGGAAAATAAGCACTTCAATAGCTTTGTGGGAACCCGAAGGAAGCCGGGCTGGAGGGCCGGCCAGCTGCATAGCTTAGCTCCCGCCCGGCCGCAGGCCCAGGGGACGCGGGGGAAGCGGGGGACGCGGGGGCGGCCGGCCGCAGGCTTGTCGCCCCTTCCGACCCGCGCCCGCTGGGCAGGACGCGCAGACTGGGGGCTTCGCTCGCGGGGGCTGGCAGAGCAATCAACGCCCACTCTCATTTGCTGCCAAGGGCAGGGCAGCACATTCCCCAGCAGCAGAGCAGAGCCCCCAGCGCCCCGGGAAAGGCCCAGGACGCGGGAGCCATGACAGAGGCCGGAGCGGGCGGCCGCGGACACGGAGGAGCGGCCCCCACGGGACACGGCTGGTCCTGCGCAGTCACGTTCACTCCAAAGAGCGCCCTGCCCCGACAGGCCGCAGCCCACTGCCCGCGGGGCAGCCTGGGAAAGGCGGGCTGGCGCCCGGACTCCGCCCGGGCCTCCCGGTTCGGGCTCCTGGGCTCAGGACCGACCCGCCGCCGCCGGAGGTCTCGCAGGCACAGCCCTGTGGGCGTGTCGCGGCGCCGGGACCCAGCGCTGGCCCCGCCACGGGAGCTCGAGACACGAAGGAGCCGCGACGCCGTCCTCCATTCTCCCTCCGCGCCGACTCGGGGAGCCAGTCCACGCGGCCACAGAAGTCCACGCCCGGCGTGGGGGCGGGAGCTGTGTGTCTGCGGCGACAGGCCACACGCGGCCCCTCCGCAGGCGTCTTTGGGGCGGAGATTCGGGTTCCCACTGCGTTTAAGGCACAAAGGGAGCTTCGGGGCGGGGAGGCTGAGTCAGGTGCTGAAGGACTTAAACTCCGCCCGGAGGTTCAATGCACCCCACGACTGAGAAAGTGCTGAAGGGCCCCCTCAGGGCTCCGGCTGAGCGGCCGCGAGGAGCCGTGTGCCGTGCGCACGGCGGCCTGCACCCGCGCCGGCCCCTCCTGACGCCCAGCAACCGCGGATCCGCCAGGGGCTCCGTCGCGAGGGGCTCCCGGCAGTGACCGCGGCAGCTGATCGCACGTGGGGGGCGGGGCCTCGGGAAGCCGTTGGGCGCCGCCGGCCCAGGAGCAGGGGGCGGGAGGCTCCGCCGCGGAGCCCTCTGGGAGGCGGGAGGCGGCGGGGAGGGCGCGAAGGGCGCT